CAATAAAAAAGCGGGAAATATGACACCATGATAATATAATGTATGCAAACGAATACAAAAAAAAAACAAAAATAAGAGTCCATTATTTGAAAGAGTTAAGAAGTAAGGCAGAGGTAATTTTTATCTCACGTCGGGCGGCTTAACAGAGCAATAATAAAGGCGGTTTATTGGTCATCTCGGCACAACATGTTATCGACTTCAATTAAATATCATTTTTATTAGGAATGGGTCGGTACGCCCCGCGGTCACTGTTTTTTTATGTCTACATAAATGTAAATGTATCTCTATTTTTATGTAAAACTTTAGTTTTTTATTACTATATGGAAAATAAAATCATTAATCGATAAAGACGTATGCTTTTTAAGATACTTAAAAACTACACCATTTTAATTGACATTAAGGTAAGTATTTTTGTACCATTTTTTACCATTCATATAAGTACAAGCTCGAAAAATTACAAGAATTAATTAAAGATGTAAGTAAAAAGATATTTACCAGTGTTTTATATCCATAGTGTTGTCAGGTGGCATGAATCCATTAATCTGAAATAAAACAACTGGTTAGTGTTTTACACAGACCTAGTTCACACTTCGCACACCACCTATCACAACGATAGCTACTATTTATTACCACCATAAATAACCAATTCAAAGAATCATGTCAAAATATAAAAGCATTAATACTTTCTCAGATAAATCACAGACAACAAAAAACTGTTGATACAATTATTTATTTATACACGTTAAGCAACAAAGGTCATAAAAATGTGTGCCTCCGACCTTCAACAATGAATACGCGAAAAAAAAAAGTATGGAAGATCGCTTTTCTTGAATGGTTACTTTATATGCAAATTCCTCGTAATAAAAACTGGAACCCTTCTCTCCTAGCTTTATACAGAGAGCGAGACTCGAATCCGACGTTTTATGTATTCGCGAATCGACGCCGTTTTATTGGTATCGAGTATCGATCCCTTGCCAGTCGGAATTCGGAAGTAAAGCCGGCTATTTCCACCGCTAGGATCGTGACTATTCGATAGCAATCAAATTTGATCGTTCCACATTAACGTATATTTACTTACCAATTGTTTCCGTTACCAAAATCGAATACATCGAATGATATCTAGACATGAATACATAAAATATTCTCGTTTAACCTATTTATATTCGACCTATACATGCTACAAAGCACGAAATCAAATACTAGTATTTCCTGTTATAAATCTATAAAAAATCTGAAACTATCCCCAACAAAACGCTTTAAAAAACATTAATCAAAGTTATATTAACCAATTAAAAAGTAACAAAACGATTCATGGTCTCGTTTATGATTGAAGTTGAATAAAAATCTAAACAGCATTACACATCACGCTATATAGTATCCTAAATATTCTAAGGCATTTATCATAACGCCCCACAGACTATAAACATGAAATACGAACTATCCAATTACTCCGCATATCTCTTTTCATAATTCGACTAAGATTTTTACAAGACGGCGATTGAATCTTTAAATTATTACACATAATATTCCGCCGCCATGTTTTTTTTTCTCTCCGTAAGCTTGTAACTAGAACCGTGTTGGCTCCACTATAAACTTCATAACAAACTGCCACATGATGCCATATCTTATGTATATTATGAGCTTTTTCGTTTAAGCCAGAGCATCTCTACGGAGTTTGAAATAGTCATATCTCAGTACCTTTGTTAAACGAAAACCAGCTTTAAATTTACTTTGTTAAAGATTGTTTTGCATCGTATGACCCGACGCAGTATGACGTCCAAGGCGAAGGCGTAAACCGCCCTTTAGATGTTTTACTTAACTGTTAGCAATGTCGAGATGCAGATACAAAAGGCTCGGCTTATTTGAATAAAGAAACATTTTATATTTAGGATGATCTCATGAAAAATCCAAACACTTGTATAAACATAAAAATTAGACTTATTTTTAAGAAGGAAATGTTACGACGCCCCTGCGTGCGATACAGTGTCGTATAGATTTATGTGCAGTCTACGTTTGATATTTTAAGTTTACTTGTTCTTATACATTGTGGGGGTCTTTACTTTATGTTGAAAATATCAATAAAGTACGATGATATTTAGATGCGCGATTTAATTGATTTTAAATTTAATAAAAGAATACATTAAAACATTTGCACTATCCGTAATATTGTAATCAGGTAATAACTAGCCAGAATTGCACCGAACCAATAAGTTGTTCCCCACCAAAGTTCGCTCTCATTACGACAATGTTGCCGGGAACATCTAAATTACCTATTGCGCGGCCGTCCAGCTGAGTTATAGTAGCATAAATTAAAAACGAAGAGATACGCCCCCTGCTTCACGTAAATGGCGTTCGCCCTTCGATCGTGTCTCCGAAGGCTATATCGTTACACCTACGCAACTATGGTTGAAATAATCTTACAAAAACATCGGTAGAATCCAATATCATGACTTTCAGAGCTACCATTTATGTTTCGATTGCAATCCAAGTATTTTATTATATTATTCCTCAAGTATTTTTTTTAATGTATGTAATGTGGTTTTTTGAACCATAACCACCAACCAAAGATGAAAAATATCTAGAATTTCAGACATTACTTCTCCTTAAAAAAATCACTAGAAAGGCCAATTATTATTTTTTATAACATAAGGTGGCAAATGAGCAAGCGGCCACCTGAATCCACCGAAATGGAAAGCGACCGTTGCCCATAAACATCCGCAATTGCAGATGCGTTGCCTACCCTTATTTGACGGAGGAGGAGATGCACATAAAGAGGACATTTCCCCTTCCTATGCGTCTCCTCCACCGTCAAATCCACTTTTCCTTCCCATCCTTTCCTATTAAGAAAATGATGGAAAGGGAAAGGG